AGAGGGAAATTATCCTTAGTTTAGAACTGTTTTCCTCTTTATTTTTCTGGAGATCAAGACTTTTATGAGACTATATGAGTTCATCTGTATTTGTTTCTTTCTGGTGCTTACAATAGACCAAAGATCAAATTCTCATTGGGGACTTCATGGGCAGACCACTCTACCATAAGCATTTCCTCATTCTCAATCATTTTTATCAGTTAAAGAGATCCCATGTGGAACAGAAGACAGTATTTGCATCCATAAATTGGCTAAGCATTCTGAAATTAATTGAAACTGTTCTCAAGATTTTCTGAAGTATAATGTATTCTGTTAAAGTATAAATTTCAACAAAAACTAAAAATAGTTATCTTCTCTGAATCTGAGATAGTGTCCAATAAATTTTAACAAAAGGAACATCCATGTTGAATAGTTGGCTCTATCCCTCTGGCCATTAAATGAACATTTTCCTATGGAGTTATGAGTCATGTTCATCTTGCAAGAAGGCGATGCATAAGGCTTTAATAATACCACAAGCAGAATTTTCAAGAAAGAAGCTTACTATTACTATYTGCAGTCCTTGAGAATGTCCAAAACATCATGTCTAGCAAAAAGGTATCCAGAAATTTCTAAGTCCTGTGAAAGAAAACTATTTTTCAGAAGTTGAAGGCCTTACTCAGTTCTGCTATTGTGCAACTTTCCTAACAACTCCAGCTTTTAACCTCTGAATCCTAGACTAGCTGCAGAAGAACAACTTGAATCAGACTTGGGTTGCATGTTAATATGACATGATGTTTAAGAATCAGTTCAAATGTAGTTGTGTAAAAGTAAGATGTTATGCCTAGGCCAAATGTAGGGTCAATGGAGAAGGAGATGCAGTCTTGATGTGTGGAGAAGGAAAGTGCTCTGTTTGATTGCCTGTCTGTGCACTTACTGTGCTCAGCACAATAATGACAGCTCATAACCATGAAGGATTAAATACATTTGCAATTTTTTTTAAGTGGTGGAAATTGTAAAGTGTTTTAAATATAGCTTAAAATGACTGTGTAGTACTGTTTTCCCTAACAGCATTATGTTGTTTGTCAACATCTGACTAAAAATTCCAGACTTTTCATTGCAGTAAGCTGAATTGCCTTTAACAGCATTGCTGGTAAGTGGCAGGCGTGAACACTTAACTGTTTAAAAGTTGGTACAAAAGCTCAGCATTGTTATATGTGTAGCCAAATACTGGCATTTTTTTTTTCCTGGGAGAAAAGGACTCTTACWCAACAAAGAGTAGAGAGACATCACTTGTTTAAGACAAAATAATATTTATGTTCTGGATGGTACAACAGGCTTTCTCTCTAGTATACTGCTGCAGATGACAGTTACAATCTGTGGATGTGACTGCATGTTTGGGGCTCCCTAGTCCTAAGGCAGTRGGTTATGCAGGACAGGCTGCATGGTCCATCCCTATCCCATGGAAGGACCAAGTAAGCACCAAGAAGCACAAGCCAGCTATGAGTTGAAGGAAAATTGKCTCTCTCCTCCTCTATTTCTTCCCAATCCAGCAAACTTTGTACAGACACAGATGCTCTGAGATTCCAAAGAGCTGGACAACTGTAGTTTAGCTGTAATCTGGAAAACACAAWCACTGTTTGGGGAAATACAAAAAGCAAAGGCAGGGATTTCTGGAGGAGAAGGAAGATGACTTCAAGCGCCTTCAAATGAATCCTGAGTCATCAGGGACTAGATGACCGATAAGAGAAAAAGACTTGTGTCTTGTCAGACATAACTGAAAATTGTGGAAGAGAAGAATCTGCCAGTGAAAGTACATATGAACTAGACAGAACTGAAAGGTGAAATATATATATACATATATATATACATGTATCCAAGTGAGTACTGGAAGGCCCTCCCTGGTGCACAGAAGCTGTTTCTCTCTTGATAATTTCTCTTTTTGCCTCCTATTTGCCTAGCCAGCCTTCCCACTGCCTTGAGTAAYGGCATCACTCTGCCGTGCTCTCATCCTCAAGAGGTGACATGTGAGGGCAGTGGCATGAGGAAGAGACTCCTTCTTTTCCGTTCCTTGCTGAAGAAATTAGAGCAGGAAGGAAATTCTAGCAATTTTGCTAGATCCTGCTTCCTCCTGTGCAGCACCGTCAGCTTTGCTGTCTGTGTATCTCAGCTTTCATCCTTTAGGTACAGTAAGTCTTCATTTCCATCCTTCTCCAAAAAGAAATCCAATTATTTGTCCCGCTTTCCTGGAAACCGCACAGGACTTAACTTCCACTTGGTGGATCATCTGAAGATGAAATGTAAGCAAAGTCAAGCTCACCGCTAACTCTGACGTAAAGCTGCTCTGCCTGTCCAGTTTCACTAAAGGATCTGGATCAGGTGCCTCTCCCTGGCCTGGCTTGCTGCCTGCACCATTTTATCCCCTGCGGAGGAAGCCGGGCAGATGCTTTGCACTGCACATCAAGGGAACATGTCTCCTGATGCTCACAAGCAAGGGTTATTTTTAAAATGTGCTATGGGAAGTATTTGAATGCAGACAACACTGAGGCCTTTTAGAGAGCTGCTTACCGAGCAGATTCCTCGTTCTCTGCCTAATAATCTCTGTTTCATGGTTGACTGACTTGTCCCCAGCTTCCATGCTATTGTGTCTCCTAGCCAAGTGGCAAGAAATGAGGCAAATGCGGACTAAAAGGTGGAAAAATCTAAAAAAAATCCAGAAAAACACTCTCTAAACAAGCTGGGCTAAACCTGAACTCTCCGCTGGCTTTAAAACTACTCTGATTTTTTTTCTTTTCTTTTTAATTTTCTTTTTAATTTTTGCTATGTCTTTCAATGCCATGTCTTTGTTGAGATTGAGGATCCTTAGTGCTATACAAGAATATTTTTAACACTCTGCTCTGTAGAAATCACAACTGAAGCAAGAATGGCAGAAGCGGGGCACAGGCAGCTAAGAAATAACAGAATCTGTAATTTCTTTGGTCCAATTGGAGTTTGTCCACAAGGAGCAGAATTTATGGCTACTTCTAATAGGACAAACTTGAAAACAGGATCCAGTCGAACTATGCTAAAATTCCTTTCTAGACATTTCAGACTGGACCTATCTGTGGAATACTTGTACATGCTTATGAAAATCAAAATAATCTTTTTTGTTCTGGAAACAAGAMAGAAAAATGTACTTTTGCAATGCTCACATTTGTAACATATGCWGAATATGTTACAACGCAAAATGGATCCAGCCTGGTAAAGATCACATTGCTTTTGATACATTTCTGTGTCTTGACCAGAAACTCCCTTGCTGATACAGAGGCGTAACTGGTACTTGGGTCATTTGCTGCATTTCAATGAATGCATTTGTTGGTCCATGATTATTTTGAAGGCACAAACTGAGTAGCTTGTTTTTTTCCGTCCCTATAGCTCTTAYTTTGCCCCTGTGGGAGACAGAGAGGGCAGGGCAGGCTGTGCACATTTTKATCTCCTTTTAGCCTGTTAGGAGTTTTTTCCAGCAGCGCTGTCCTTCTTTCCCAGCAGGATCTTTCTTTCTCTCATTAAATTTGTGGATACCCAGATTCCAACTTGCTTGGGGGCTATGACTCATCCTCAGAAGGTTTGGTTGCTTTGGGGACTTCTACTGTTGCTGCATGCAACAAGCCATGGTGCAGTCTCATTTCTCAGCTCTTGCGTTCCCTGCCTAATCAGCTGCTCCTCCAAGGCTAAAATTAAAAAAAAAAAAAAAAAAAAAAAAAAAGAATTGCTCTGTCCTTTTAAAAATCAGCCATTTTAACAGAAGTTTTGTACTTTTGAAGTACTTTTTCCGAAAGTACGTGAACATTGCTCTTTTTCCTTCTAGATCTCAAGCTGGTGATGGCTTCTTAAAGAGCCAACGCTGTGCAATAACACTGAGGGATGATGCAACAGGATGGTTAGATACATTCAGCACCTTCTCTATGTGTTGAAGTCAGTGGGATCTGAGGGTACTTGAGACATTATTATATTGTTTGCAGATAGTGTAAATCATCTTTCTGACATACATTCAGGGACCAAGGTCAATCTTTTTACCCTCTGTAAAGAATAAAACTTCCATTTTGGGAAGGCCTTTGGGTCTTCCTGACCAAGGGACTGGGTGAATTAGGACTGTGCTGTCCTGGACCCAAACTAAGTCAGTTGGTGGTTTAGTTTCTCAATGAGACTGGGTAACTCCTGTTTTTCCTAGGGTCAGATAGGCCTGGGTGACAGCATCCCTCGACTTCACATACATACTGTAAAATCCTCTGCCAAAGGGAAAAAAAAGTTGGTTTATGATTTTCTGATCGAAGTGACTCTAAGAAAATATCTCCACTGACCCAGATTTGTCGAAACATTCTAGCTCTGGATTAAAAACACAGTCAAAAAATCCAGGCAAGAGTGCAGTCAGCTTTTGCTTAACCCATTAACCCATTTCCTTTCATCACTTCCAACGGGAAGGGAAAACACCAGGGAAAAAAAAAAAAAGAAAAGAAAAAAGAAAAAAAAAAGAAAAGAAATGCAAGCTATGGCCAGCACGTCTGATTTCGCACCCACATGGAGAGCGATCTGTGCCAGGTCCTACAGGTCGTGCAGGACGGCGCTGCGCAGCGCGGGCGGGTGTCCCCTCCCTGTCAGCCTCCGTGCGCGCCCGAGGGAAGGAAAATCCCTCTGCCAGGCGTTGCGTAAGGGAGCGCAGCTCCTTCCCGCTGTCCCGGGCCGCGGCGGGGCCGAGCGGAGCGGCCGCGGGTCCCTGCGCGCCCGCGGGCGGCGCGGCGGGAGCGCCCAGCGCGCATCTCGCCGTGCTCACTTTTCCGGAAAAATAAAAAGAAAATAAGGAAAAAAGATCGAGCGCCCCCGCATCGTGCAGCAGGTGGAGGGAGGCGGCTCTAGAGCTGCTGTCCCCTGGAAGTGTCCGCAAGCGCCGTGTCGCTGCCTGGGCAGGACGGGCGGCAGCTGCCAAGCGAGTGGCATTCCCCCCCGTGCCCGTGGCCGTGCCCGTGGCCGCCACGCTTGCGCCTCACCTTGACCACGTCGTCGTTGAGGTGCTTGGGGTCGCGGTTGACCAGGTCGATCTCCTTGGTGTGCACGTCGTGCACCGCCTTCTCGCTCAGCTCATCGGCCATCATCTTGTTGTTGGGCTTGTAGATGTTGCCCTGCTCCCTGACGGGCGCCGCGTACAGAAAGCCCTGCGGAGAGGCGCGGGAGGGAGGCAGGGCCGCCGAGGCGGGGCGGGCGGCGGGGGCGGCCGCGGCTCCCGCGGCGCTGCGCGCCCGCGCCTCTCGCCGCCGCTATTTAAACGCCGCGGGGGCCGCCCCGCTCCCCCCGCGCCACCGGCCCCGGCGCGGCCGCCCGCGCCCGCTCCCGCCGCCAGGCGTCCCGGGAGAGCGCGCCCCGGCACCGGCCCCAGCACCGGCCCCGGCCCCGGCCCGGGTTCCGACCCCAGCACCGGCCCCGGCTCCGACCCCGGCCCCTGCTCCTGCTCCGACCCCGGCCCCGCGCACCTCACTGGGCTCCGGGGCTGGCGGGGAGCGGGCGGCTGCGGCCGCTCACCCCGAGCAGCGCCCTCGCTATAGCGCCCGCCACGGCGCCCTCGCCCGCCGCGCTCTCGCCTKGCTGCCCTCCCCACAGCGCCCTCACCGCGGTCCCTCGCCCTGCTGCCCTGACCCTACTGAGCCCATGGCATCGCCCCCGCCATCCCGCCCTCGCCGCGGCTGCAGCCCTGGCCCTCGGGGACGCGGGTGTCCCCTGTCCCGCCGCAGCCGCCTCCCGCTTCCCTCCGCGCGRCTCCCGCAAGGGCGCTGCCCTCGGGGCGGGAGGCAGCAGCGAGGCGGCCTCGACGGCGCCCCCCGGGCCGCGGCTCCCGCTCGGCTCGGAGGGGCCGCGGCAGGTCCGCGGCGCCCCGCGGGACGGCGGCGTGAGGCGGCCCTACCTCCGAGTCCACGTATTTGGTCCCGGACATGCTGGCCCGGCTCGGCGGCGGTTCTGCCTCGGGTTTTTCTCTGCGCTATAATTTAAATGAGCGAAGGAAGGAAGCCCCGCGCTGTGGAGCAGCTAGCCAGGGGGAGGTAGCTACGCGGGCGAGCGCTGGCCGCCGGCCAGGGGCTGTTCCTCTCCGCGCTTGCCTTGCTTGACAGCGGCGGCAGGAGCAGGCATCGCCCCGGGGCTGCGCGCGGGAAACGCTGCAGCGCCCGCAACCCTCCCGCAACCCGCCCGCGGCCCCGATCCCGGCCCCGACCCGATCCCGACCCKGACCCGTCCCGGCCCCCGACCCTGATCCGGTCCCGGTCCCGCTGCAGCCCCCGCGCTGAGGGCGGCGAAGCCGAGGGGAGCAAAGGGCCAAGTGAGGAGATGGAAAACTTCAGTGGTGTTGCAGGAGTGAGGATTTTTTTTYCCCCCCCTCTCCCGCCCGCTTGACAATAGTTTGCAAATAGCCACCAGCGCCCCGGGAACGACTGTGGAAACTTGGACATCCTTGGGTTGAAGAGAAAGTGACTTTCCTGAATGGTTCATTTCCAAGCTATGCAAATGTTTAACAGTCCTGCAGTTCGGCTGTACAGTGTGTTTTTTTCCGGGGAGGACACTGACCCATGCACGTCTGTCATGCAGCTCAGCCACTGGGACTTGGCTTTGGCAGAGCTGTGGTGACACAGTGACACTTGTCCATGCTCTGTTCTGCAGGTCCTCTACAAGTGCCCATGCGTRTGCTGGTGTAACAGCTCTCAGGTTCCATCACTGGGTTCAAGATGCTTCAGATTAAGACTACAGTGGCACCACACCTGTATTTTTTTGATGTTTGAAATCATCAGTCTTTTGGTAGGAGATCAGCTTATCAATGTAAGGTTTGTCACAGTAACTAATGTAAGATTTGTCACACTAGCAGAAAAATAAAGTGAGATTAGTGTTATGTCATTTTTCTTGCTGCATCAAATTGCAGCAAACTTTCACACTGTGCTATATTTGGCTCTGGCAGCTCAGCAGAGAAATGATCTCAAAAGGGCTGTTTTAACTAAGATGGAAGCAGGCTACAGAAAATAAAAGCACCTGTTAGAAATGCAGTCCACATGGACACCTATTRGTGATATGGTCATCAGTTAGCAGTGAACTTTAAGGGCTCATGTTGCTCATAAAATTTAAAATAAATAATTTTGAGATGGATACTTTCCAACTTTCCAACTTTCCAAGTTGCTTGGAATTTTTAAAAGTAACTTTATTGATGCAATAATTTGCTTAAGACATTGTTWAAATATCTTCTGTTTTCCAAACTTTTCAGCGTGTGCATAAAGTCAAATGGATGGACTGAGGGACATAATCTCAGAGAAAAAAATCAACCCATCTGAAGAAAGCCACATCTTTGTTTTACAGGGAAGTTTTTTAAGTAGCCATTTTTCTGCATGGACTTCAGAAGATCTTGATCCATCATTCCATATCATTTTGTACCTCAAAGATGACCAACTTAAGGGACATACTTTTCAGCTCAAAATGCTACACTTGGARAAGTTTCTGAGGAACTGCAACCTCCTTCAAAAAATGTATCACACAACTCTAGTGCAACTTTGCAGCTAGAGGAACACTGGAAGCTGGTAGAATTTGTAACCTCTATGAGAAGAATCCCAGAATAAGCCACTTTCCAGCTGAAAYGATCTGTTGCATCTGTTGAAACATAGAAGTGCTTATTTGGGCTGGAATACTATGAAGACATCCTATATAAAAACTACATAGGTACTAACAGCTTTTGGAGGTGTGAGAATTATATCTACAGAGAGAGAAACTGTAGCCTGTTGCTACCTGGCCCGTTGTATGAGAAATGAACCCAAACTCCCTTCTCATTGAGCATGTCTTTATTTGACAGGGGTGGCGAGATCATGTTCCTTCCTTCTCACAGCCTCTAGGAACTGATGATTTCCTTTCAAATGGGGAAACACATGTTTGTCAAGAGCTTGATGGTTAGAACATTGCTCTTGCATGTAAGAGAGCTGAGATTATTTCTGCCTTCCAAGGAGTGCTAGTGCACTGGGACTCACCCTGGGAAAACTGCTCATCTGCACCAAGGGTATTTTCAGGGCATTCTTTCCTCTGTTTGAGGAACCCTTTTTGGGTTCTGATGGGGCTTAGATGCAAGTTCGGGACCAAGTTACTCAAATAAGGGCAGTTCTASGCATGACCAAAAATAAAACTGTAGGTACTGAGGGAACATTTAGGGAAAGGGAGGTGCYTTCTGCGTTTAGGCATGTTCCTGGTTAGGTGGCAGCTCAGCAGAGTTATGATTTTGGATTGAAATGGCTGACAGCCATGTGCTTTAATCCTGCTTTAGGCACATATTTCTCCTATTAGAGTAGATCTCCCTGTAGATCTTGATCAAGACAGCCTGTAACTGCCTKGACTGGTAAGTCTAGTAGATTGAAAGCTTAATTCTGGCACCTGGAGGTAAGGTTCTGTGCATTTTAGCAATTTGTATCACTCTTTTATCAATACATTTTAATGTCTAATTCCCTGACAAATGGCAAGCTGGACCACTTCCATTTGTCTCTGTGTCACTACTTTTCCATATCTTTCCACTAGGGCTAATGTGTTATTAACTGCCCCGATTTCCTATGGATGTATCAGACTGTGAGAACTGTTCTCTAATGGGACTCAAAACACTCACTCCTTGAAGTTTAGGACACATCTTGTTTTCACCCAGATTTAACTGTCTAAAATTTTTATGCTCAATCCTGTCTTACATTTGTAGCATTACGATAGCTATAACAGTAAAAATAAAAAAGAGAGGGCAAGTACATGGGGAGGAAAAGTAGCTATTATGACATTCAGATGGTTGGAAAAATAGACAAGCTTTCCTCTAAATCTGAAATAAAAGTGGTAATCTCTAGATTTTATTCCATGTTGATTCAATGCACTCAGGGAGGTTTTTAGCTCTAGTTTCCAAGTGCACAGTGTACTAATGGACAACACCGGCAGAAAGTGTTTGGCAGAAAGTGTGGTGTTTGACCTTGTTCCATTTGCATTTTCTTATTTTAAAAACAAAAACATACATTTTTTCCATGTACTTTTAAAGCTTTTCAGCAATAGTTTTATCTCTGCAGGTGGGGGAAAGATCACACCCTGTGGAAATAATGAACTTCCTATTCTTTGGCTTCTACGAAATAAGAGTGTGTGGTCTGAGTCCCAGAGCTGCAGGGATATTCTGAACTTTGCAGTCAGGTCATGCCTAAGTGAGGTTTTAGATAACTGTGAAGAGTCTCCTCCTTCACTCCTATGTCAAAGCTTCAGTTAGGAATTTATACAATTTTATACGGTGCACAAGTAACATGAGGAAGGAAAGACAAGATGTGACTGCAAAATTTCTGCAATCTAAGAATTTTATTCAATAGTTATAGTATAAAGAATTAGATAAAATTTCAAAATGAAAAAAATATAAAGACAATTTTGAGGTTAATTCCTATGTTACTTGTTCTTTCTGGAAAAAAATCCTAACTGCATAAATCATTCTGCACAACAGAACTATGTCCAGTTTACAATTATAAGTCTAAAATCTGTAGTAACAAGAAGTGTGTTGCAATCTTAACATGTCACAGTTTTGTATTAATTTCTCCTCAGAAGTCTACCTTTCAGGATAATATTAGCCTAAATTCTCATGTGTGAGTTGTTGTTAATGCAGCAGTTGGTGTGCTTCACCCTCGTTTCAAAAGGATCAACCAAAGTTAAAGAATCTATCTGTACGTGTAAGAACATGGTTCAGTGTCAATGCCCGTTCACTCCTTGTTGTCCAACACTGCTATAAACTATTGACTATTGACATTGTGGCAGTACTGCCAGTACTGTGTGCCAGTACTGCCAAACTCATAAAAAGCTTCAAATACTTGCCAGGCATCATTGCCTGGGGTGGATTCACACCTGTGTATTGAAAAGTCTGTGTATATTCACTGCTCACTCCCCTTCCTTTCACGGATAAAGTAAGGGTATTGGCCAAATCTCTTCTGGTAAGCAAAAAAGCCAGTTTGGTATTCTCTTATAGTAAAAGCATATCTACTTCATAGAAAGATACTGATGTAGACTGTACTACTGCTATTAGTAAGTAACTAAGTAAGAAGCTTTAATTACTCAGTAAGTTATTTTTCATTGTAAGCTTGCTTTAGTCTTGTTAGGCAGTTAGAGAAATGAGGAATCAATTAATAACAAATTGAAAAAAAGTGAATTTAAAAAAAAGTCAAAAAAAAGTCAATAGCAAATGGAAAGGTCCAAATCAAAATAAGAACAAAACAAATCATCCCACTTGATTCTCTGAGGTAGCTAAGACAGGATGACATCAGTAAGCTATTTAAAAATGCACATATCCAGTAGTGCACGACCTAGAGTGATGTATTTTCCCCTAGGGAATAGCCTTAGCCTCAAAGTTTGGATCCAGATCTGAGTTCCTGCAATGCCTAAGCTTTTTATAGGGCTTGTTTTAGGGGCAAGGACTAGCATTAATAGACTTTTTTTTTAAATGTAATTCATTATAGGATTCTTTTTTTCTTGTGTGGAAAATACCTTTGTAAAAATACTTAGGCTTTGGAAAAGAAAATAACTCTTGAAAACTTCAAGCCTGACCATTTTTTATTTTCAGAAATTTCCATTTTTGACAGAAGAACTATACTTTAAAATGTGTATTTGAAAAGTAAGTTTAATTTCTTGTGGAAGAAAAAAGCTCTACAGTTTCAGTGGGCACTACTTGTTAAGATCCAGCTTTCAAAAACCATATGAATCCCTTTCTGAATGTCACAAATGGAAAAGATGTTTTTAATGTAGAAAGAATATGCAATGTTGTAGAGTCAGAAAAAGAAAATTTTGCAGCTTATCTATAAATAAAGCATGAGACCTTTAAAAATAATTAAGCACTTTTTATGAATGTAGCCAAAATTCCTCCCTGAGTGATCTGCTTCAGAGAAAACATTCTGTTTAGTTTAATCCACCACAGCGGGATACTGCACTTGCTAATATAAATGACTGGAATGCAATTGATAATAGTGGAACTAGATGGATGCTCATTCATTTCTATCTCTTACTTTGTATTTTGGAAAAAAATGCATAGTATTCTATGCTATTCTAAACTTTAAAGGTCTTTAAAAAAGTTGAAGCTTAAAAAAATGAAGTTGAAAATATGAAAAAGCTGAAATTTTATTTTTTATTATATACTTCTTGTTCAATAAGAAATCTGTGACATTTTAGAAAGCAACACACTAAATGATATAAACATTTTACAATTGCAGCTTAAAATCAGTATTTAAATAAAACAGCAGCATAAACCCATCAGAAGGCTAAAGTAATCTTAATGTACCTCTGCAGATGTTTTGTTATTCTAGTTTACAAAACTCTTTTAGGTGCAGAAGGAAGAAGGGCTCTTTATGGGTTAGGCTTTAAAGTAGCAAGTAAGCAATGCAGAGATTCAGGTCAGTAGGTGAGGAGAATTAGACGAGGTTGCCAATTACACTCATGTGCCTTATATTAGAGCTGGTTATCTAGTTAAAGTGCCTGCATAGTGTCTATCATTTAAAATATCACAATGTTAACAATAATGCACAGAAATAGGTAGGGTTGCGTTTACTGCAGCCCATCTTTAATAAAAAACAATTCTCATAAACACATATTTCCAACTCCTGCATAGTCTTTTAAGAAAACACACTTATAATCTTTGCTTTTACACACAAGTATGTATAAAGGATATACTAGAATTGCACAGCAACACTTCAAAAATCTGCATAATTTATAAATTGAAATTTTATATAATTTGCTATCTATTTTTTGCAGTGTGTCACTTTATGCCTAGTAAGTTTGTTAGAATAGAAATACTATAGAAATAATGCTTCAAAGACTAATAATCAAGTCCCATTTACATAAGTACAAAATATACAGCAAAGTTAACCTCTCATTAAATAAAATATACAGATTTGCTGATGTTTCAATCATTAGCTAACACCTTATTTTAAGGGGTAAACTTCTGGGGAGCTATTCCCCAGTACAGAAGAATTACACAGCAAGTCGCTCCTCTGTATGCAGCATGCAATGAACGATATTCAATTTACCTGCTGCAAATAATAACTGAGCACATCATGCCAAGGGCCAGAATGATCTCTGGTGCAATCCAGTAGTTTAATGTGACACCCTAGAAATCAGTGTCACCCAAAGTATCACATCCTACCAATTAAGATATTTACAGCAATAACTCTAGTCATAGGAATTTAAAACATTATTACTGTAATAACTACTATACCCCTATGAGAATTCTTCTCTATTCTGCCAATCAATGTGTCATTAAAATAAAGTGTTGCCAATGCATTCCACGGTCCTTCTGTTGTTAAGTAGTGAGATATGAAAACTGCCTAATTTTATCTTAAGCTGATCCCTGAAAATAAATGAAAAATAGTATGTTCCCACTTAAACCAGCCACTGTAACTGTGACGGTTTGGAATGAGCAGTAAATGCTTGTGTGGTACATTAACAGAGAGGTCTAACACCTTCTGCAAGTACATGCAATCACAGTCGTCACATGCCTGACAGTTACTCTCGATCCAGGTGTATATTAACCATGGCAAAGCATCGACCTATGCTGTGAAAAAACGGTACAATGAAAACATCTGTCAGGCTCTTCCATACAGTCTTCACCGAAGGCAACACCATGAGACAAGTTTTCACGAAGGGCACCACAATCCTGTAAAGGAGAAAATGGAAGATGTGAAGGTTATTAAACCTACAGCACAGGAAATCGAGAAAACTCTAATGTGAATCTTAAGGAACAGGAAGGTGATTTTATTAAACAAAATCTTTAAGCAAATTCACTGCGCTCTCAACCTCATTCTCCATGTTTTGTTTTCATTCATATTACATTCCATCCCATCTAGTATTTGTAACCAGTTTCTTCACTACAAGAGAAACAGTAAAGCAATCTTTAATTACATTTGATTAATAGAATATAGGGACATTCAGATGTCCAGAAAAATGGGATCTCGCTAATACAGGCATGTTTCTCTTTTATCACTGAGACACTAAAGTAGCATGAAGTCAACACTCTTGATAAGGGAAATGATGTGGCCATACTCAAGGTAAGCCACATACTTGAAGGAATTATGCTTCTCATCTGCTATGCACTAGTAATTCTTTGTGTATGCTCTTCATATGTCTCAATTTCAAAGCAATGTCATTAATGATGGCTTAAGTTAAGCACACTTAACAACAGAGAAGAGCAAGAACTGCACATATGGCTCGTTCACTGGGCCAGCAGTTATGTAACCATAAGTGACCATAATATTTTAAGTTATTCTCTCTTTTTCTTTCTTTTTTTTTTTTTTTTTTACTTGCTAAAACCCTTGATCACTTGGTCATTTCCTTTAGTTGGATATTTTTGAGTGCAGACAAATTAAATGTATAAATCATTTATGTGATGTTGAAATATTACTAGAACATGGTTTTCAAAAACCTCTGTGACGTTATGTATAATGGCCAGTGCCTAAACTAGCCAGAAAGAACCACAGCTTCTTTTGACAAAGATAACAAATTCCATTGTAATTTGCTGTTGAGACCTAATTTAAAAGACCTATTCTTTTTCAGTTTAATTCAATTGCAGAACTGTCAYTGACTTTGGTGGAAATGAGAGGAAAAATTATTCAAAATGCTTATTTATACTTTATTACAGTCTGAAAAATACATGAGAATTGTACATTACCAATAAATATCACTGAGAACAACACAGTGGAAACCCAGGGAACACACCAGACAAGGCTACTAGCTTATGTTGACTTTTCCATTTCATCTTTGTTTGTGCGGCCTATGTCACTGCTCCTTTCTTGGTATCTAAATTTAATTTGAGATGACTGTTTTTATTATTTATTCATTTAAATATAACTCAATGGTAGAAGAGAAGCAAAAGCCTACATTTCTTTATCGGACCCACCCTAGACGGGACCACAAAAACTGCAGTCATGAACAAATTACAGAAATGCCAGGCTAGGGAAGWGTATCTCTAAAGGTTGTCATGAATCACAAAGATTTTATTAGGAAAGACTGAGACTGGAAAAGCACTGATCATACTACTTAGGAYTGCTACAAACCACCCACTCAGTGTCAGAACTCAATCTGTTCTAATAACGTTAAATACAATAAATATCTTTTTTTTTTTATTTTTTAATTTTATGCTAAATAGATAAAAAAACACAGCATAGGACAATCTTCAGAGGAGGAGATGGGAAACATACTGGCAAGCAAAGCAAATTAATACAAGCAATTTTTCATTTTAAAATAAAACTTGGCCTATTTAGACAAGAAAGTTGAGTCAGACAAGAATTTCTCAAACACATTTCCTCAGAAAAGAAAATCTTTTCATCCACAAAGCACTAAAAGTCTGATATTTGATTTCCAAAATCTGTGCACGATTCTCTGTATTATCTATGTTGAATACAAGAACATATATACTGTGTTCTGCATAGGTTCTGTGTTGGTGTTCTGTGCTTTCCTTCCATTCAGGATTCCCAAATCACCAGGCTGTGATACGATCCTCCACAGGATAATCAGGCACAATTAAAAAAAATAAAAAAACCTCACTAGAAAGCATCTACCTTTTTGCGAAATGCCTAACAAACATTAACTCCTTTATCACAGTGCTGTGTGTTTAGTCCAGTGTGGCATTTCCATCACGTGTGTGGAAGCACTCACTTGGGTAATGCCTACCAGTGTGAGCACAGTTGACATATCCCAAGGATATTGACATTTGCTGCAATATTGGCATCAGCAGTATTACCACGTGGTGCAGTGCAGAAAAGAAAAACAAAGCTCTGTTGAATGTGATGCCCGAACTGAAGCATAGCCAAGGTATTTCAACTGCCGTTATGAGCTGTGATTGAATTGTGCTATGTACTATCTTTTAGAATAACCAGCCCTTCAATAAGTAGAATAGCTTACCTGTTTTGGGAGCCGTTGATCTGAAAAGAATAAATTATTCCTTATGCTACTCTTCTCACTTTTCTGTTCTAGGCATGATAGGCAAAGTTATTCCCATCAAAAATTCTCATTTCTGTTCGTACTACTTTTTCTTGCTAATTTGCAAGAGACAGACTTTGTCAGCAACCAAATAATACTTGGAAATGGCAGAGCATACTATAATTCTCACTGATTAGAGCATTTTCATATTGTGAAGAAGCAGCTCAACTTTTTAGAGATGTGGGCAATATGCTTTATGTCATTTTATGTTTATTCAAATTTCTGCTTTTAAGTGAAAAATCACATCTCCTGTGAATTTTTCCAAAATGGAATTTCAAACATGTCTTAATGTTATTTTTCAAATACAATACCACTCAGTGGCTAAGTTGTCCAATTCATGGTTTACATGTGCATTACACAGGGATCTTCAATTAAAGCCTTGMATGGTAGTGTAGTACAGCAAGAAGTGTAAAAAGACCATTAAATATCAGTTAGCATCTCTAGAGCTTCTTGTAGGGTCCCATTAGCCCCTGGGACATTTATGAGTGATAACCCTCTTCTAGCACCCAGACATAGTTTATAAACTGCATTAAAACCAAACATTATACCTCAAAGCACTTGCATGGATTTAGTAAGATAAAATTAAAAAGAAAGCAAGACAGCATRCACTTCCTTCCTTTTCAGAAAACAAAGAATGTATCCTGGACATGAACCAAAAGGCAGTAAGGTAACAGATCATAAAATGGGCTTTCATTTACCACTTTTCCTTTGATTTTAGATGGTCAGTAGATAGTTTCAGTTCTACAGGTTTCAGTATAATAGTGCTACGCCTTAGAAGTGGAGTTGTGGAAAAAGGGGTATGAGATGTATGCACATGTTTATCTTTTTTTTTATCTGTCTTTTGCTACATTTTAGTATATCATGGTGGTTGACAAGTTGGCCATGAGGCAGCAGTGTGCCCTGGTGGCCAAGAAGGCCAATGGGATTCTGGGGTGTATTAGGAAGAACATCTCCAGCAGGTCGAGGGAGGTGATCGTCCCCCTATACACAGCCCTGGTGAGGCCACATCTGGAGTCCTGTGTCCAATTCTGGGCTCCCCAATACAAGAGGGATGTGGAGCTGCTGGAGAGAGTCCAGCGCAGGGCTACCAGGATGATCAGGGGCCTGGAAGATCTGCCCTATGAGCAAAGGCTGAGGGAGCTGGGCCTGTTCAGCCTGAAGAAGAAAAGGCTGAGGGGGGAATCTGAACAGTTTATGAAAGCGAAGGCAAAGGAAAGGAAAAACTTCTAGACAGTGAGGGTGACAGAGCACTGGAACAGGCTGCCAAGAGAGTTTGTGGAGTCTCCTCTGGAGATCTTCAGAACCCACTTGAACTCAATCCGTGCCATGTGCTCTAGCTGACCCTGTGTGTACACGGGGCTTGGACTACGTGATCTCTAGAGGTCCCTTACAACCTTAAGGATTCTATGATTCTGTGATTCCATGCCTGCAAGTACAAGTCTGGAAGGACTCCAAGTATTTGCCAAGCTGGCTGAGGCCTTGTGTGAGTGCGTTTGGAGTACAAGACCGAGTTCAGACCCAACACCCAGGCTATGGAACCCCAAGTAGTAGTGATTCTCATCATAAATGCCAAATTTTCATATTTAACACACCTGAGAATCCTCCAGAAAAGACTACAACACAGTTTATGTGAGATTTAGTTTAATTTTTAAGAGGTGGCAAAGATAATACATGGAATAAGAATTACTCTTAGCTTCAATCTATTAAAAAAGCTCACGATTTTACATGTATTGCCTGGGAAACCAGCAGTGTTCTGATCAAGTTTGAAACCCTACCAGGATTTAAGGACACACTTAAAAGTTTTATCAGGTATTTACAGAATATTGGCCTGACAAGTTCCACATTTTTTATTCTGTTGTGAGGATGAAAGCAATCAGCAAGCAGAGGAATGTGGAGATGTCTTCCTTCAAGTCTTCCTTGAACTAGCAGTATTTAGGTCATTAAATTGCTAGCTGGCACATTTTTAGCCCATTATTTCTCTTTTAGAGAACAGTGTAAATTTGGATCCTAGCTCCAGGCAGCCAGTTTGAAATAGAATCTGAATACACTCCTTTTTAATAGGTAAAAATCACAATTAAAGTGTGCTATTATGTAGTTGTTACTCAGCTTTCTTTCCGCTTTCCATGATATTCCCTGTGCTTGTGTCTTTCATTTGGTGGTGAGGGATAACATTTATTTCCAGATACGGGGATGTGCAACCTATGCATTAGGAGTGCTAAGTCTGTCTCCTGTGGATTTTTATCACGCTGAAAATGCTGCAAGAACATGTGTGACAAACAACAAGCAGAACTTGGTGTTTGAAGACTGCCAGGCATTTTAGAAACAGCTTCAAATTTAATCTTGTAGAAAGCTCCCCAGAGAACAGCCCACGCTATCAGCTTGGCTTCAAAGACAAGACACAAGGATGGCTCTCCTGCACTTTGCCACATGGGAGGGTGTGCCCAGAGCTTCCCATGACCTTATGCTGGAGTTATACTGGAATTCCCTTCCTCTCCCCCACCAAAAAAGGAGCCAGCATTTTTCCAGACCCCGTGAGACTCCCATGAGTGCCAGTGCCATGTGCTTGAGAGTCCCTATGTCCGTACTCTCTGTGGACTCTTTATTGTATGCTCCTCTCCTTCTGAAATGCAGAGGGGCACTGAAAGCCTGGCTTGCAACAAACCTGCAACAGCCTGAGCCCCACAGATGTTAACACAGGCTCAGTGTGTTCCACCGTTGAGCTGGAATAAATCCAGCTTGTTTGTGTGCAAGACTAGACTGTGCTGGCCTTGGATCCTAGCACTGGACAGGACTCAAGCCAGTGCAGACAGAGCTAGTGCATTATACTGTTCTTTCATACCCAGCCCATGTGCAAGAAAGATCAAAATGAAAGATCGGCTTGGTATTGCCAATGAATTTAAGAAAAAAATTGATGGGGAAATAGTGTGTAGACAAAAGGTCAAGGCAAACTCTTCAAAATCAAGTGCCACATTCAGACAGTTCTATTTTGGATGTACCCAGAACCTACAGTTCCTGATAAAGCCCTTTGGGACTACTTGCAGAAATAGAAATTGACCTTGGAGTCCTGCTTCAGTGAAACCCAGATCCAAGATCATCAAGCAGAAAACCTCAGTAGAGTTGTAGTAAACGGGATATTAATGAACTAGCCCATGGACATTCCACAGCTGGAAGTCTATGCAGCCACCATGCTCTCCTGCATCATGTGGTGCAGTGCAGACCAGTGGTCCCCCACAGGACTCGAAGTCTGGGCACACTCTGTTCAGAATAATTTGGGGACTAGAGAAGTAACCTGTGGGCTACTTCAGACACTGTACTAGCAGGTGGGCTACTCTAATTTTAATTGCAGATCCTCTGGAAAGAGAGAGGATATGTAAACTCTATACTCCAAACTTCTTAATCACTCTCCAAGGTGGCTCATGACAATGTTGTCAACCCATAAACTTCCACTCCACTTTTAAAAACTAAAACATTTGACGAAAAGATTGCAATCAGATGTTCAGATAGCCAATCAGTGTATTCATACCGTGTTTCTTTCCCCCAGCTTCTAGACCTTATTTTGTTTTCTTCACATTGCACTGCCTTAGAACATTTATGAAGTTTGCTTCAGAATAAACAACATCTGTGTGATTCCAATGCTACTCAAATGAGGCTTTACTCAAAACCCTTGTATTTGGAAAATCCTGGTTTGGAATGGTGGTGATCACCTGCATGCATCCCTTCCTCTGCACACTGACAGATTCCCAGTTCTTCTGTCAATCTTACCCTTTTCCCTTCATTTCCTCCTTCTCCACAATCAGCTGCCTGTCTAGTCTCAAGATTCACTTTCCTGACATTTTGCCAATATTTTCTATTTAAAGTACATCCACTTTGCTGTGACTTGGAGAGCTACTGTATTCACATGTGAACCTGGGCCGTGGCCAGAAGGGCCTTCCTGAGCTCAGCAGGGGTTCTCTGCCTGAGGGGAAGTGCTTTGGGCCAGTGCATCTAGAGATGGCCATGAACCACATACAAGGCAACAACAGTAGATTTTGAGACCGTATAAAGAAAGAAAGTGGGGCCTCACAAGCTTTCTTCAATCTGTGAGGATAAATCAAAGAGGTAACCTGACTGAGAAGGTGTCACATGGATAATAAAATCTGAGGTGTAAGTAGTATTTTCATTTAAAAAGCCAACAAACACGACTGTTACTAGACAGTTTGGCCAAGGCCAGCCTGCTCAGTGGCAGGGACCACCTACATGACAGGACTCAAGGAGGGCAGCTGGTAAGAGTCATATTAAGGGTAGAGAACTGAATCACAAAAAATAAAACATTTCTATTTCCCTCTCTACAGAAATTAAGTTGTGGCTCGCTGCTGAGCCCATGAACGGCAACAGGTCGCGGGGGCAGGCGACGAAACACACTTACCAGATGTGCAGGCAGCTAAGTGCTGCAAAGATGATCCCAGCAACCAGGGCCATCGGGATGGCCAGCAGCAGCGTCACCAGCTTGTAGACCAGATACTTGCTGAGCTCAAAGAGAGCGTGGCTGCAGATCCAGACCTTGTCGAAGGAGTGCGTTAACTCCGGCTCTGCGATCACATCCTCAAAGCCCAGCTAGAATAACAGAGAGCAAAACTAGCTGCGCGCGGGGCACCTACCCCCGTGCGCGCCCGGGCGCGGAGCCCCCCGGCTACCGCGGAGCCGCCGGGCCGAGGGCCCGCGCCGCACCTGGAGGTGGCCGTTGAGCCCGTTGGGGTCCCTGTCCGCGCCGTCCTCGGCGCTCTTCTCCACGTCGGAGAGCGCGGGGCCCCCGGCGCGGCTCAAGTTGTCGTCGTCCATGAAAATCCGCGTCTCCGCCTTCTCCTTCTCCAGCCCCATGGCGAGCGCGGCGCGGCGCTGCC